TCCATAATCTGTTCCGTTCCAGGTGGTTCATTTCCATAACTCCATAATCTGTTCCGGTTCCTGGTGGTTCACCTCCATAATCTGTTCCGGTTCCAGGTGGTTCACCTCCATAATCTGTTCCGGTTCCAGGTGGTTCGGTTCCAGGTACATCCACAGGTCCTGTTGGAGGTGCCGTCGGTGGCACTGTTGGAGGTGCCGTCGGTGGCTCTGTTGGAGGTGCCGTCGGTGGTTGTGTTGGAGGTGCCGTCGGTGGCACTGTTGGAGGTGCCGTCGGTGGCTCTGTTGGAGGTGCCGTCTGTTGTGTTGAGTGCCCTGTTGGAGCTGGTCGATGTGTTGGAGGTGCCGTCGGGTTGTGTTGGAGGCCGTCGGTGGTGTGTTGGAGGTCCCGTCGTGTTGGAGGGTGGCTGTGTTGGAGGTCCCGTCGTGGCTGTGTTGGAGGGTGGTGGCTGTGTTGGAGTCCCCGTCGTGTGGGGTGGCTCTGTTGAGGTCCGTCGTGGCTTGTTGGAGTCCCGTCGGTGGCTTGTGTTGAGGTCCGTCGGTGGCTGTGTTGGAGGTCCGTCGGTGTGTTGGAGGTCCCGTCGGTGGCTGTGTTGGAGGTCCCGTCGGTGGCTGTGTTGGAGGTCCCGTCGGTGGCTCTGTTGGGAGTCGGTGGCTCGTCGGTGGCTCTGTTGGAGGTCCCCGTGGTGGCTCTGTTGGAGGTCCCGTCGGTGGCTCTGTTGGAGGTCCCGTCGGTGGCTCTGTTGGAGGTTCGGTGGTGTTGGAGGTCCCGTCGTGGCTCTGTTGGAGTCCCGTCGGTGGCTGTGTTGGAGGTCCCGTCTGTTGGAGGTCCCGTCTGGTTCTGAGGTCCCGTCGGTGGCTCTGTTGGAGGTCCCGTCGGTGGGAGGTCCGTCGGTGGCTCTGTTGGAGGTCCCGTCGGTGGCTCTGTTGGAGGTCCCGTCGGTGGCTCTGTTGGAGGTCCCGTCGGTGGCTCTGTTGGAGGTCCCGTCGGTGGCTCTGTTGGAGGTCCCGTCGGTGGCTCTGTTGGAGGTCCCGTCGGTGGCTCGAGGTCCCGTCGTGGCTCTGTTGGAGGTCCCGGTGTTGGAGGTGGGTTGGAGGTCCCGTCGGTGGCTCTGTTGGAGGTCCCGTCGGTGGCTCTGTTGGAGGTCCCGTCGGTGCTCTGTTGGAGTCCCGTCGGTCTCTGTTGAGGTCCCGTCGTGGCTCCCGTCGGTGGCGTGGTGGTCTGTTTGGAGGTTCCGTCTGTTGGAGGTTCCGTCAGTGTTCCGTCTCCGTCTGTTGGATGTGTTGGAGGCCCCGTCGTTGTGTTGGAGGCATCGTCGAATGGAGGTCCGTCGGTGGCTCTGTTGGAGGTGCTGTCGGTGGCTCTGTTGGAAGTCCCGTCGGTGTTTGTGTTGGAGGACCCGACATTGATAATATAATAGTCAAGAAGCAGAATTCAGCAAGCAATTTAGTTCATTTTAAAACTCAGCAATGACAGCTTAAAAGAAATACAGAATTATCCATTTTCTTCTTGGGAAACATACCCATGGTAGTGCTGGCAGATGGTGGTGTAGAAGGCGCCTCTGTACCTACAAATGTCCGGGAATAAAATCAATTGAAGACTAGAAAACGGAAAATGAAACAAAGTATGCACGGTTCTTGTACAAGTTCCGAAAAGAACTTGGACAAGATCTGGCATCCTCTATAGGCCGCAATGAAAACCAAGTGATTTGGACCATCAATGGAGATTGCGGCCGGGATCTCCATTGCCAGTAACCAACCAACAAGGCCCACTGCGCCGCCGAGCCTGTACTGAAATGCTAGTCAGTTCAATACAGCTTGAGGCCTAGAGGAAAATAGGAGAGCCTTAGAAACTGCAGGTTCATGGTGTGGAAAGGTACATACTCACTTGATTCCACTACGTTTTTTTCTGGCTTGTTATGGTATCACCTACTGTTGTTTACCCACAAGGAAGAAATTATGTTAAATGGGGCCAACGTTGTCGTTCCTGATGTAAGAATGTTTTATTATGAATGCAGGTCCAGTGTAGAAGTTCCTCATATACTCGAAGACCCAGTTGTACGGTCGCAGCGTGTGACCTGCACAGAGATGGAAATTTTGTTTTAAATTCAGCTTCTTAAAAGTTATAAAAGCAAACTGCATTACATGTTGATTTGATTTTTTTTAATGATATTTTATACAATATATAAATGAAATACAAGTCATTTCGATTCTTTGTCCTGCATTTGTTTGTTATATTTACAATTTCTGTAACATATACAGTAAATAGAAATTTTCTCTAAGTATAAGATGTGACATTAGACCACCTAAACCGTTTAGCCAAGTAAACCTAAAACAAATATTCCTATATTATTCTAAACGGCTGTAGAAGGTATGAAACATTTCGTTATCATCAAGTTTTGCTTTCCATCTGTTGATTATAACAACACTGAGCAAATTATACAATTAATCGTGTCTAGTTATATCTGATATCTTGCACTGGTTAAATGCAGTGACATTATTTACCTCCAATCCCTATTTATCAGTATATCTCCTTTGAGAGGGCGGGGCAGTTGCATTCGATTTCAAGAAGGAAAAAAAAGGTCTTGACACACTCAGTTTGTCACATTTGAACTCCGCAATAGACTTTTCCTAAATTGACAAGCCACAACCACACCCAACAACCAAACTTAGCTCAGAGATTTTTAGATGAGAATTGCCCTAAGCATGTTCATCATTATTTAGACCAGTGTAAATGAAATTTACATGAAACTGTATATAGTTCTTGGGAGTCCTAGACACATGTAGCAAAATGCATGGTCCAGGGCTAGGGGTACAGGTAGGCCTAGCCTATGACTGTAAACTTGCTGAGATCTCCACCACTGGCATTGGCAAAATCAGGGAGCATCAGGCCTCTAGTCCTAGATGGCTTAGGTCTATGGTAGGCTCTATATAGGGCATAGGCATAGGAAGAAACTGGAGCCTCTTGCGCAAACACTGGAGTCACCCTCCAGAGCCATAAAATTATGATGGGACAGGCCCTCTCCAGTCATAAAGCTAGGTACGCCGCCCTAGGAAAAAGAGATATGGCCCTACTTTTTAAGGCCTAGGTCTATGCCACATAAGGAAAATCTAGAGGGCTCGCAAATCCGGCTGTCTGTTGCACTGAGCGGACAAGAATTCCCTGTAGTACCAGGAAATTTCTCCTATGATTTTATCATAAAAACAAAGACATAACAATTCAGACACTGTGGAAACCAGGCATTTCATTTATTAAAGAATCAGTTTTCTGTTTTACAGAAAGAAATGTGTAATGCTTGTTTTATATTTAGGCACAGGATAGAATTACAACAGCTGTACTCACTTATCCATATTATAGTAATAGAGTTACGGCAGTCCACTGCACATGCGCATAACCTGGTCATTTTGAAAATTACTTGCGTTTGATGAGGCCTTTTCCCATTTCCTAACCTAACCTAACTTGTTAGGTTGGTTATTCGCGTCGCTCGCACATGCTCAAAAGGCACTGCCGGAGCACTAGCCCAGTTGGTGCGCAGTACGGCTGCCGTAACGATAGACTGCGTTATATTTATTCGGTAATTTTCTATATTACCTTTGCCTCTCCGATATCGACAATTTTGGTATCTTTGGATTCCTCTCACTGTCCACATTGCAAATATATAGTTTTTATTGCGCGGAAACCCCCCATTTGCGACAAATTTGGCCCCGATACCAGGGGAGGGCATGAAAGGTTCCAGGAAAAACGCAGGGTCAAATAACACTGATAATATACCCACAGTGAAAATAACAATGGTTATTCACATGACTCTCCATTGCAGGGGGCTGTGCCCCCTGCAACCCCCCTTGGGGGGGCTGCCGCCCCCCAACCCCTGCCAAGGACACCAAACCTCCACCACGTATTCCCGGCAGGCTAGAGCGTTACACAGTTATCGGCGATCTCGTACCTCGTAACATTCCCACTGAATCAGCATACTAACCTTGACATAGTCAACATTGTATACAGATACGATTGTAGTATAATCAGGATGAACAAGATATACCATGAACAGAAGAACGGCGGTGGCCCGCCCTCGTCGGGTCGGCGGGTTTTGCGCCTTTTTCGATGCATCTAGTTCGTGTGCGCTCTATCCTGCCATGAATACGTGGGGGATACTTTGTGTCCTCGGCGGGGGTTGGGTGGCGGCACCCCCCTCAGGGAGGGTCGCAGAGGGCGCAGCCCCCTGCAGTGGCTCATGTGAATAACCATGGTTATTTTCACTGTGGGTTATATTATTAGGGTAATTTTCTATATTACGACCGCCGCTCCGACATCATCGCCCCTGCTATCGGGGCCAAGTTTGCCGCTAACGGGAGGTTTCCGCGCAATAAAACCTACATATTTGGATTGTACAGAGTGAGAGGAATCCAACAATACCAAAATCGTCGATATCGGAGAGGCGAAGGTAATATAGAAAATTACCCATAAAGCATTGTAAAACTATTTGAATTCTTCCTTTTCAAAATTTTACCTCGTAGAAATAGATACTAATATTTTCTCGGCTGAATATGCTCTGCACATGCCAATGACAGATGCTAGGTGGAGCTATAACCATAATATTACAGTAGAATACGTCACACTACAGTCTCTTGGATTCTTGCACAAGTCATAATCCTTTCTTAGAGGAGACTTTTGAACTGCCAACAAATAAATGACACTGCAAACTGTACTGGAATACAGCTCACTCTACAATGTACAATTTATTTCAAAATGTCGAACACCCGTTCCAATTTCATTAAACAAACGTAAAAATAATTACATCGTATCCTAAAGCAGGTAGCACTGACGCTTCACATCACAGGCACATCACGACAGGATGACCATGTGAGGGTAGACAATCAGTCTGCACAACGGCAAGCCCAACTCCAGTGCTCATTCCCAGGCTACACTGAAGTCCTTGGGGTCAACTATTGCAACTGGGCTCTAGCACTTCCACTGCCTGCTCTTTCCCAGAAATACTGATTAT